CCTATCAAGGGTCATGTCCTCAGTAATCCTAAGTCGTGCCATGTCCTTCCTGATCACCTCTCCCCAATACTTCTTAGGTCTCCCTCTACCTCTCCTCGTGCCCACCACAGCCAGTCGCTCATACCTCCTCACTGGTGCATCAGTGCTCCTCCTCTGAATGTGCCCGAACCATCTGAGTCTTGCTTCCGCATCTTGTCCTCTATGGGGGCCATGCCCACCTTCTCTCGAATATCTTCATTCCTAATCTCATCTATCCTTGTATGCCCACACATCCATCTCAGCATCCTCATCTCTGCTACTTTCATCTTCTGGATGTGTGAGTTCTTAACCGGCCAACACTCGGTCCCATACAACATAGCAGGTCTAACCACTGCTCTATAAAACTTACCTTTTAGTGACATAGCAGGCCTGACCACAGTGTGTGATATCCTCGTCGATCTCCCCGATCCCCTGAATAACTGACCCAAGGTACTTGAAACTACCCCTCTTAGGGATGACTTGAGAGTCAAGCCTCACTTCCATTCCTGCTTCCTTCGGCTCGGCCCCAAATTTGCACTCGAGGTATTCCGTCTTCGTCCTGCTCAACCTGAAACCTTTAGACTCAAGGGCATGTCTCCAAACCTCTAGCCTCTCGTTGACGCTGCGTCGTGTCTCGTCAATTAGGACTATGTCATCAGCAAATAGCATGCACCATGGCATTAAATCTGGTGAATAGCATGTAAAGAAAATAGCACGCACCATGTAAAGAAAAAAAAACTGGCGATTAAATCTTTCAATAAAAGGAACACCACTGGTGTTTCATTCCCATCAGATTCATGCATACTCTCTTATAAAAAAAAGGAAAAATGACACGCTATAACTGCTCTTAAAATAATAATCGAAAATATTTATATTTTTCGTATATTTTTTTGTATATATATACATTCTGTATGTTATATACAAAACTTATATAAATTTTATACACTTTTTCGACTATCGAATATAAATAGTTTTTGGCGCGGGCTAAGAGTAAAAAAAGTCCTATAAAATAAGGTTCACCTAAATGCGATCCATATGTGGGCTTCAGCTATCACTACTACAAATTCGGTCAAAATCATTCGCGGCCGACTGATTGACTTAGGTCTTTTTTTTTTCGATCGAATTCGGTCTTTTTTCTGCGCCATAATGCGAGAAATTATTTTGCTTCTCGGGAAGTTTATTTTTAAGAAACCGACCAACTTCGGTCGATATTTTATTTAAAATAAATTAAAATTATTATTCAGATAACCGACTGAAATCAGCTGGTCATTTTTAATTTCAGTAAGCGACTTTATTTTTTTGACAAAGTTGATCGAAATCAGTTGGTTATTTCTATGCAAAATTGCACTTACTGAGTATAAATAAAATAAAAGAAAGTCTTAAACTAAAAAGCACCAACGGTCTAGTAGTAGAATAGTATTTTGTTACAGTACAAACCCCAATTTGATTATCAGATGGTGCATTTTATAATTACATAATTTAAAAAAAACGATCGAAATGGGTCAGTTTTTACGATCGTCCTTTTTCTTTTGGATCGGTGTAGAGTTTAATTGACCGACCAAAATCGTTCGGTTGGCTCCACTGACCTAACGACTTTCGACCGCTACTAATCAATCGCTTTTTGGTCGGTTCTTGCCAATTATTGACCGATATCAATCAATTTTTTTGGTTGGTTTTGACCAAATTTCTAATAGTGTATAAGGAGGGAAATGAGTAATAATGTTCTTTTTTGGGAGAATTACATCCCTTGTCACTTGGCCCAACAACCCATCAGAAAATGACCCATGTTTGAAGTATTTACCCAGTATAGCCTAGGTTGTACATAACCTGAAAATTACTTTTCACTGGTTAGCCCATTTTTTCTTCGTTCCAGTTACATCCCTTGTCACTCCCCTTTTTTCTTCGTTCCAGTTAGCCCACCTTCTTCTTCTTCTCCTTCCCAAGTCAGCCTTTACATCGCAATTTTTTTTTACTATTGTTATTCTCCTTCAATTCTTTTCTGGATTCCAATGGTTAATTAAGGATTTGAAAAATAAAAGTCACCATTACAGGTGGTTCGAAGATTCGATTTCAAAAATTGAGTTTTTCGATTTGTTAGTTGTTTGGAATGAGTGTTGTCTTAATTGATTGGAATCATCAAGATGAGTTTAAAAACTTAAATTTCAAGTGATTTGGAGTAGATTTAGGTTATATTTGAGTTAAATTTCAGAAATTGAGTTTTCTGATATGTTAGTTGTTTGGAATGGGTGTTGTCTCAATTGATTGGAATCATCAAGATGAGTTCAAAACTTAAATTTCAAGTGATTTGGAGTAGCTTTAGGTTATATTTGAGTTAAATTTCAGAGGATGTCCAAGGAAGAAGAAGAACACGTGAAACTCCATTGATAGGATTCATTTAATAATGTATAATATTGTATAAATAGTATATAATAGTGTATAAACACAACTTATACACTATTATATCCAAGGTTGTTACAGTATTTACAGGTATTTGGTGAATTTCTCGCATTTTCTTCCTCCTCTTCTTATACACCTATAAACATAGCGTATCAAGAATATTTTCACTCTGTGATTATACATATTTATACACTTTTATACAACTATATACATACTGTACCTCTTTATATAAAAGTGTATAACATTGTATAAAAGTGTATAAGCATCGCTGACGAAATTTTTGTACGATTTTCACTTGCAATTCTTGTATAAAACTAGTCCAAATCTCCAGCAAATAATTTCAAACTTTGTATACAACCTATTTAGACTATTTCTAATAAGTTCAAATAATACTCACTCCAAATTTCTCACAAGATCATAATCGAAATTTAAAAAGATTAGCATTAAAGGAGATGAGATTTTAGGTTTCTCGCGTTTATTTTTGCGTTTTGCAGTTGTGATATGTATGTATAAACCTGAAGATATACAATTCTTTTTTTTAAAAAAAAAACAGAGAAGTATTGGTTATGGAAGAAGGCACGAATGAGTGTTGACTGAATGGGGAACTAATTTTTCTTTTCAGTTTTGTTTGCATATGATTCTTTTCATTAATTAAATTAAATATTTATGGGTGAAAAATGAGGAGAGAGCTACAATAGGGGTACGTAGGAATAAATGAGGTTGTTATAATTAGAATGAATGGGAAAAGAAAAGATCTTATTGATATTTGGCTATACATTTACAAACTTGTAACTGAGCTAAAATAGTGCAAGGTTAACTTATGAAGTGCATTATTCTTTAATTTTTTCTTCTTTTTTTGGTCAAAGATTAATAATATTAATTCATAACATACATTAGCTATAAGTATTAGAGAAACCTAACTAGGCATATGTAGCCGTTGCAATTATTTATAGTCTCAAGCCTCAAATGCTTTATTTATGCATAGGCAGATAGACTAACCTAATAACCTTTAGTTAAAGTAGTAAAGTAAAGACTAAGAGCCCGTTTGGCTTAGCTGATCTAGAGTAACTGATAAACATTAGGTGTTGAAAAACACTTTTAAGTGCTGAAACTGATTTAAAAAATAAGTAGTTATGTGTTTGGATAAAAGTGCTGAAATTAATAATATGCAGCTGAAGAACTGGGTATACGAAGAGTTTTGTTTTAAAAAGAAGTATTTTACGGATAGAATAGTAAATATTTTGGTCAAACTTAAAGTATTTATAAGCTGAAATTTGATAAGTTGGGGGAGACCAACTTATGGCTTTTGGCTTATAAGCACTTTTAATTTTACCAAACGCATAAATAAACCAAAAAGTGTTTATAAGCCAGTTTGACCAGCTTATAAGCTTAGCCAAACACCCTCTAACAGTCTACAAGTTGACAATTTCTTTGCATACTGCATTGACACAAATGCTAGAAAGGTAGCTGCTAGAAACAAATTTAAAAATTTCAGTTCAAATTATAATTTACATCCTTTGCATTATGTATTGACACAGACCGTAGATGTGACTAATTATTTCAGTAACACTCCCTCTGGAAGATTTAAAACAGTAATTAAACAATATGCATAATGTCGGGATGCGAAAATGAAGGTTTCAACTGTAAATTAAGAAGCGTAATAGAAAAGGGTCAGAAGACTACTAAATATTTTAAAAAATTACATGTCCGGTCTAAAACAGATATTTTATACCATTATATTAAGTAAGCTTCATCATGGATAACTTTCAGTGACAAATATAATATGGTAACTTAGATATTAATATTTTACTTTAGCTAGTTAAATTATACTGATGATGTAAAAAAATTTTATATTAGAATATCTGAAAAGTAAATATATATACACGTGTGATATTTAACACAGAATTTGAAAGTGCAAAAGAACAAATAGGACAATTTCAAGAAGACTAATTATTCGATTCCATCCAGGAATCCATTATCGTTAACTATTTGCAAGAATAAATTAATATAAAGACCCCTTTAAGAATAAATAAATATAATTAATAAATGGAGCACCAAATGCTTGTTAATTTTCCACAAGATCCTTGCTTGATTTTCGGGTTTCCTAAAGGGGCTATGTAGGACAGATGGTTGTATTAATCGGATCATTGGTGAAATTAGGTCATTAATTAATATCTCTAAACCTTGTGTTCACATAAAGGTTGGTGATCTTTTTCCAAATCATTAATTAGTCTTTATGCTGTGTGATTATCCATATGGTCAAGCAACCTTTTGTAATAAAAGCGTTAAATAATTGATGACTTTGTCTTTAAAATTTGGTCTCCAGTTACTTAGGTACTCTTATTATCTAATACAAAAAGCTTAAGAAGAAAAATATATAAAAAGAAACACAATGACAGCAAAACGAAAAAGCCTATGACCGGTTGGAGAGACCCCGGGTCCACTTTCTGTTTTTGGAAAACGAAAGAGAAAGAAAGGGAAAAATAGATTTTGTAATTTTGCCATATTAAACCATAGTCTTCCCCTAAATAAGAGAAACCAGCAAAAGTACCCTCACAACTCAAACAAAAGTTGCTTCACACGTCCCATCTTTCTTTTCTCTCTTCCCCCCCAATTTCTCACCCCATGGAATCACGCAGTTCACCATATATCATACAATCTACATATATGAGTGTAGTGAATTAGCTTCAGTACTCACACCATACAAAATTTCCTCTTCTCTGATCAGCCAATTTTTTGTTGAACTTTTCTATATACACTACATTTCAACCCTTTATATAATGTAAACCACGGTTGTATTATTTCTGTTGCTTTTTTTCATTGTTAGTTGAAACATTGTGTTTTTGATTGACGCTTAAATATTAAATACCAGTTGTTTGCAAACTCATTTTGTTTAACTGAAAAGTTTTGTATATACAGAATTACAAATACACATATACTTTGTTTTGTATTATTGGAAAGTGAAGAGAGTAAGATGTTGGATCTCAATGTAAATGTAATCTACGATGAGAATTACATCGTTGACGAGAAGCTTCCGGAAGGTTCTGTAGCTGATCATGAATCAGGGACGTCCAATTCATCATCGTTACGAAATGCGGAGGCTACAAGCAGTGCCGGAGGCGACGACGACACGTGTTCAACACGCGCCGACAACTTGTTCGCATTCAATTTCGACATCCTCAAATTTGGAGGAGTTGATGCAACTAGCAGGAGCAACGCGTTTGTGACTCGGCAGCTGTTTCCGGTTCATGACGGAGAGTTGAACCGGCCGGGACAGACCGATCGGGTCAATTTCTCCTCCGGTCGATCCGGTTTTGGAGATGAGCGAACAGTACTACAACAACAACCGCAGCAAGAGAAACCGCAAGTGAAGAAGAGTAGGAGAGGGCCAAGGTCCAGAAGTTCACAGTACAGAGGCGTTACTTTTTACAGAAGAACTGGTAGATGGGAATCACATATTTGGTTAGTTCTCCACCTGTAAAACTTTTGGCTAGATCATACTTCATTTATTATCAAAATGATATTTACCTAATCAGATTGCTTATTAGGTACTTACATGTATCTCTTGATAAACATTAATTGGTACTTTGATAAAAATGTTAACTAACTTAGCTTAAATTTTGTAATAAGATCTCTACACGGTCAGTGAATATAACTTAAATACAATTATCAATAATCAATTTATTAAGGAATTAACTTATATACATTTACATTTTAATGAATGTTTTACATCATCAGTATAATTTAACTTGTTATAGCAATTCACTAACCATTGTTCTAGGATACAAATCAATTATATTATATAGAGTTACCAACAGTTATCTTTTAAATGATTTGATTGTGTAAAACAATTTTGCACTAGTAGTACATAGAACTTAAATTCATGTATTAATATGACTGCTATTGGATGTAGGGACTGTGGAAAACAAGTATATTTAGGTATGAATACTGCTATTTTAACTATTACCAATTTGGTTAATTTAGTTGTTTTTGTGGTTTTTCGTGCTAAATGTTATTCTACTTTTGGTAATTTTTGATTGGTTTTTGTTGTTGGTTTATATTAGGTGGTTTTGATACTGCTCATACAGCAGCAAGGTAAACCAAAAGTCATCTCAAATCTCAGAGTTGTCAGATTTTCAGCTTTACGTTATTTCCCTCCCTTCATTTGGTTGTATCAATTTTCTTCTCCATTGTATAGGGCGTATGACAGAGCTGCAATTAAGTTCCGGGGTGTTGATGCTGATATCAACTTTAGCATAAGTGATTACGAGGAGGATATGAAACAGGTCAGAAATGCAAAGATTCTATTTTGCTAATCTGTTAAGGTGTTGAACCCTTGTCTAGACTGGTTCATAATTGTTTCTGTATTAGTTGGCGTCGATTATGTGAATCATCTGTATGTATTATGAACTATTTGAACTCTCTCTTTTAACACAGATGAAAGACCTTGGTAAAGAGGAATTTGTGCACTTGCTGCGACGCCATAGCAATGGTTTTTCAAGAGGGAGCTCCAAATTCAGAGGAGTGACGCTGCATAAATGTGGCAGATGGGAAGCTCGGATGGGACAGTTCCTCGGAAAAAAGTAAGGAACAAACTCATTGAAATAGCTTGTAGAAGATTACAGCTTAGGATAGTAATTGGTCCAATCTGGGAAACAAATCAGTTAAACATGCCTTTTTGAAGAAGAAATTGATGGTACTATAGTATTCACGGTGGGGATTGCACTGCTTGAATTGCAGGTATATATATCTTGGGCTATTCGACAGTGAAGTAGAAGCTGCAAGGTCCTAATGATCTTGAATTACCCTCTCTCTATTGATGAACTGTTACCTTAAATTCTCAACTTCAATCTTGTGTTATCCAACCTGCATTTCCCTTTTTGTTTTCTGTAAATAGGGCTTATGATAAGGCGGCAATCAAAACTAATGGTAGGGAGGCTGTTACCAACTTTGAGCCAAGTGCATATCAAGGGGAAACAATCTCTGAACCGCAGAAAGAAGGTTTGCTCAAATGCTCTTGCTCATTTTCAAATCTCTGAATCTCTCAACTATATCTTGATCTATCTCATTTGGGATGCCTATGATGCAGGTAGCCAACCTGATCTTGATCTGAACTTGGGGATGTCGACCTCTTCTTCAAAGGAAAATGACAAGTTGGGAGGCTCCTACTATCATCCTTATGATATGCAAGATGCAACAAAATCAAAGGTATTAGCAAAGTAGCTTATATGCTTTTGTGGATTAATGTTCTTTTTCTGTTAGTCTTCTATTTTTCCTCTTTCACAAAGTTCATTTGCAAGAGACTCTTAGAGTAAATTCAAAATTGAGGATATATCACTGGTAATGAACATGAACCTTCTTTTGTTGATTCGATGGCTTTTCCAATTCATGCATAATTGTGAAGAAACATGTCATGAACACCGTTAATCTTTCTTTCTTATAGATTGTAGTAATCAATTTATGCTCTTTAACCACAGATGGATAAACCTGGTCCAGTAATAGTTGGAAGTTCACATCTCAAGGGACTACCAATGACGTCCAAACAAGCTCACTTGTGGAGTGGAGCTTATTCTAATTTCTCTCCCACCTACGAGGTAAGATATTGACTCAACCCTCAGTCAACTATTGGGGCCAAAAGAATTGATGTTCCCATTTAGATTTCTTTTTCTCCACTTGGAACTTCAGGTCAAATATGCATGTCTTCAGTTGCCAAAATAGACATCTTCAAGTCCCCCTTTTTTCCTCAAGTGCTGGGATCATATTTGTGTTGCGTGAAACATTTTACTTTTCTCTTCTCGTCTTTTGGGGCGGAGAATAAGTGACCACTATATGGAAGTGGTGTCTAGCAATGCATGCAGGAATCTAAATGCCCTATGATAGAATTATCTTTAGGTGACATCGAAATACTTTGTTGTACTTTGTCACTTCTATTGGGGTAATGGCTATGTTATTCTGCTTAATTCAGATTACTATGCCTCTGTTGTGCCATTTTGTGCCACTTTCTTAAATTGAACAGATCCCATATGTTGAAACTTCCAATACCCTCTCTTTTATTGACTTAACTAAGATAGAAGTTAAACTAAACAAAGAAAAGAAAATTTGGGAACAGAGAGCAGGGGAGCAGCCTTTTTCTTGCTTTGTTCCTGTCTTCCAGATCTCTCATAGTCATCTTTCTTGTTTGTTTATGTGTTTTGACTTTGTTTTGTTTTTTCATGTCGATAAGATCATAATATAAATAGGAGAGATTCATAAAATTAAATTAGGAGAAGCATGGTAATACTATAAAGTAGTCGAATAAAACATTCTTACACAGGTTAAAAATTAGAGTTTGTTAAAAAACTATATGTATAATAATAATAATAATAATAATAATAATAAAAAACTTAATGATGAAAGCCTTATCTTTGCATTTCTCTTTATTTTGTTGGGGGGTTTTAGAAGGTGGATGATGTTAAAGAAGCTACCCTATTAGACATACTACTCGTTGATTTGAAATACATTACATCAGTTAAAGCCTCGTGTCTTAATTAAAATCATTTGGCAGGGAAGAGCATCTGACAAGAGAAAGGATACAGGTTCATCACTAGGACCCTCAAACTGGGCAATGCAAATGCCCACTCAGGTTGATACAGCCCCAGTGTCGATGTTCTACACTGCAGCATCATCAGGATTCTTAACTCCGGCTTCTGCTTTTATCACTTCTTCAGCATCTCCCGTGGCACCCTCAACAAATGCGTCTCAATACTATTACCAGTTCAGCCCCCACGTACCACCTCCATAGCATGTCTTCCTCGGTAAGTACTAGTCATATAGGTAAAAGAAACATAGTCATTGATTTCTTTTGTAACATTCTAATGTCAATTGGATGACATCTTTATGGATTGGATTCCTTTATACTGCTTTTTGGATCTGGAAAGTAAAGATTCAAATTCCTCTTGCAGCATGGCTATAGGATACTTCTGTGCTTTTCTTGTTGCCTTACTGTTATGACCTTTGGTGCAAAGTTCCATTATTGATCGAATTATATCATAAACATATACTGTATAACAGAATCATTCTTCCACGGACTCCATAGTGCTGGAGATATGGTTAGTGGAAGTGCTAAATCCGAACAGATTTAGAAGGGCACATGTACAGTTCCATCAGCTCCTCCTTTTTGATGTTTCATTTAAAAAGAAAACTGGTTTTTGTCACGTTGAAGTAGTAAACATTTTTTTTGAAGGGATTGAAGTAGTAACTTATGAACCTTGTTTTGTTTTTGCTAAAGAAATTATGAACATTAGATAAACTACCAAGAAAAATATCAACAATACACGCCGTGCTTTATATTAGACCCGCTTTTAAAATGGAGTGCAACAAAAGATATTCCCAGCATGCATGTAACCATAAGTTTGTCTATTTCAAGTAACCATAAGTTGGTCTATTTCTCGCTTTACAGGTGATATGTAATCAATGTACAGCACTTCTGGCTAGCAACTACCTCTCTTTTCACCTTTTCTCTCTTTTTTGACCCATTACGCCCTTGGGGTTTCAAATGCTCCTCCATAGAAAGATTCCTAGTGTATCATCTGTAGCAAAATTATGAATGGGAGCTATCAATCCGGACCATATTGAAAAGGTTCTTGAGATACATCATGGAAAAGTAACAATATTAAGAAACGAAGTCCAAGAATGAAGAACAGGTAGAATTACTGAATGAATACGAGTTCCTGTGCTCACTCCTATATAATGTTCCTCAAACAAGCCTTTGCCTTTGCACTTCCATGACGAATAATATCTACAACTCCAGCACGTATGTCTGCGGTAGGCGGACAGGAACCTAGCTAGGCTTTTTCCCTTTAGCGTGGTGGACCCAAAATCCAGTTGGATTTTAATTGCTCTTAATTCATGTGTATGGTCCCTTTAGAACACTTTTCTTCGTTTTGACTCAAATTTGGTACTGCTGAGGCTTTTCTGCTTTCTGGTAGGTTGCCCTTCATATGGATCTATTGCTTTTAAGTTTTAAACACACATTAAAACTTGTGGTACTATTTCAGACGCCCCATCTGATGAGGAAAAGGCTCGGAACTGAGGAGTCCCTTTATGTTTCATGTTGTCTTTTCTGCTCCAAGAATTTTGGCGCTCACTTTGCCTCTCATGCCTATTGTCATTACTTGCTTTTTCTTATTCTTTAAAAGTACAACTAGTATTAGTACCCGTACGATACGCGGACACAATTCATGTCAAATTGTGATTTGGATTATTTGAATTATGTATAAATAACTTTAAAATATAAACCTTCCAGATAAAATTTATAGATAATCATTAGATATTAATTAAGAAGCAAGACATGAAACTATTTCGCAAATCTCATATTGGATAACCTGTTTTCTTTTTCTATATTTATATAATCCAATAGATTAATTTTAGTACTTGAATTTCGTTTCGTTATTAATATTAAAAGTTACTAACTATGTTATGTGGTGATTTGTCTCGTTTAAACATATTAAATTATATTATTTTAATAAAATTCTCAGTATTAGTTTTTTTTTGTCTAAAGCTTAAATAAGTCTTATTCTTTTAAATTTTACACAATTTTTTTTGTTCTTTGCTTATAATTATTAAATTATTTATTATTTAATATTATTATACTTTCATGTGAGTTTTTCGGCTTACTAATTGACTTAATATTTTGCTTATTATCCTTTTAATAATTATCGATAAATATTATTTTTTTATTCTTGAAATTAATAATATTTTACGCTTTTATCCTCTTACTCGAGACTATTTTACTATTTAAATCTATAAATAATATTTTGAAATATTATTCAATTATTTAATTTAATTTATTTTAAATTAATTTAATATATTCTCACATTATATCTATTTTTTTATACAGTCTCTTCCCTACTAAGAAATTTTTAATTAATATATTACATGTAATCAAAATATTATCATATTTGACTTTAAGTTGTAACTTTGATTAGTATAAAATATTAATATCTTGATTATTATATTGCAAATCTATTAAGTTTTTTTGTATTTATTTTTTGTATTATATGCAATAAAAAAAATCTCTTTTAGTTTCAAGATACAAAATTTGACTTTTAATTTTAGTTAATAAAATTACTTATATTAGATATTTATTTTATATTTTTAAAATTTTAATTCTTATCTAGTATGACTTTAATTTTTGGTGGCCATATCCATAGTTTGAGCATTCTCATCATAAATTTAAGAACTTTCTAATATTAAGCAAAATAGTCTTTCCCTTTCATTTCTAATATTTAATTTTAATTATTTTTTTTACTTTTGCTATTATGTTATCAAATATTATCACAGTTTCATATGGCTTTTTAATTAATTTGCCACTTTATTTAGTATTATTATCCATTACTATCCTTTAATATAATATAGATAAATTTAGAAAATTTTTAATCTTAAAATAAATATCTATTTTATTTTAAAAATATCGCTTGAATTCTTAAGTTTTTTAAATTTATCAATAGTATTTTAAGTATTTTATTTCACTTTATTTTATTTTCTAAACTAATTCTTAGCATAAATATTCTCACACTATTTTTAATTTATTTTTAATATTTTTAAGTTCTTATTTTATCTGTTAGACATAAGTTATGTGGTATTATCCACAATATCATCTTTCTTATCATAATAGATAAATAACAACTTTCTCATCTCAAATTTAAATAAATTTTATCATTTTTCTTTATGATGAAAATTTTGATTAATTTCTCTCTATTTATTCCTTGTTTTTGCTATTCTATTATTCAATACATAATATTATCACATTGTTATGTGGCTTTTATTAGCTTGTTTAATTTAATATCTATTTCTACCACACTCATTTTATTATTAATCATAAAAATTAATTTCTTATTTGTTTGAACACATTATATCTAATGATAATATTTTCACTATCATTTTATTTCTCCATGTACTATTTCTAAAAATAATAAAATTATGAAATGAAAGAAAAGAGATCAAGTGGTTAGTTAATAATTATATTTGGAAAGCTATCAAAATTTATTTAGTATAAGAATGTGATTCAATTTAATTGATTTCTACCATAAATTAAATTTGATCAAATCTAAATTGTTTTAATCTNTTTAATTATGTTTCCATTTATAATTTCTAATAATTAATGTTGTCCTACAATTGTCAAGTGGCTTCATTTTAGCTCGCCACTTGGTTTAACCACAATACATACTACTCTCCTTTTAATATAATAAAGATAACAATAGTTATGCCTCAATTTCAAATAAATTGAGATATAGATTATACAAATATTACTATCCATGTTTAAGAGTCTTTACGAGAAATCAAATTATCACATTTGAACAAAAAGTCTAAGTGAAATCAATTTGAAAAATGGGTGTTGTGGTATCTAACTATCTATATGCATATTGATATATGTATCTGCTCTTATAAACATCTTTTTAGAAATTTTAATTGTATTTTTACATAATTTCGTTTTCTCTTTCCATCTTGAGCTAATGAAATTTGGTAAACGGAGCAATGCATATTGATATATGTATCTGCTCATATCAGCATTCTTTTAAGAAATTTTAATTGTATTTTTACATAATTTCATTCTCTTTTTCCATCTTTAGCTAATGACATTTCGTATAAGGAGCAGCACATTTATTTCCCTGCTTCTTTAAACAAGCACGCTTCAGTAAATATATCTTCATTGACTTTTTTGAGATGATATATATCTTCACTGACTTCTCTTCCCAATTATACTAACAATCAAGTAAACAAGGCTAGGCGGAGTAGTTGCTCTGGAGCAGGTTCTTCGACTGGACCATGCATTTATGAACCCTAAAAAAATCCCAAGGTCCAGCAAACGAATGCATACAGGCCTCGTCTTACATCTAATTCAAACAAGCTACAACCTTTTTTTAATAAACAAAAACTAGCTTTGTTTGTTTGCAATTTTTTCAACCAGTATGAAACTAAGACCTGATTCTCACGCCCATCCAAGAAGACAAGAGTATCAGCCGCAAATTAAAAAAAGCATGCATTCTATCTAAACCACTGTGCTGAGCCTCATCTCAAGTTCTCAACTTTCACCTGGAAATGGAATCATAAAAGGCAAGATAGCAATTAATGCATATGAATAGACATAATCAAACATGAATAACATTCCAATCGTGAAACTGAAAACAACAGTTTCAGGCAACCATGTCAGCACTCAGTAGAAGAGGCAGTGAAATAGAAGGAACTAATCTCTCTCAAGCTTATCAAATAGGAGTAATTAATTAGGTCAACGTGGTTACGAAATAATCTTAGAATGGATGATCTTCCAACACCACTTTTGAGCAAACGGTACCCTACTGGTTCAATGAAATGGGTATATATCTTATAAATATCTATTAATTGATTGTCAAAGCAACCATAATTAATAACCAAACAAAACAACCTTAAGACCAGCAAGATTTCACCGCACATCTTTTTTTTCAAATTAGTCCAAGTTAGCTCGCATACACCTCAATTTAAACCACCCTGCCTGCACCTGCTACCTTTCCACCAGCACATATATCATCTTCCCACCAGGGTTTAGAAAGGGGAGAATTAACTAGCAAAGCCTCCGCTAGGTTTGTCACCAACTCTTTAGTCCATAGGCCACCCCACTGAGGACGACTTCATAACATATCTAAGGCAAAATTAGTCAAGCTGAGATCAGCTATATGGTATAGCATTCGCAGGAAAATTCATGATAAAGATCTAAATCATGATGATTGGAAAAACCACTGTATGTACTGCAGATTGCTGGTTCTGCCACCTTACTCCATTTATGATACTAGAAAGTGTTTTTATCGCGTATACTTATCCGTGCTGCAGACAAGATAGTAAACTCAATTGGGAAGTGCCAACCTGTTGGTTCCTGGACACCCTGTTTTAGAGTCTTTGATCCTTCACCAAACTGAAAGCAGCTTCAATCAGACAATCCTGTAGCAGATTCGCCTTTCGGAATGCCAGTCTGTCATGTTTCCTCACAGATGTTTGCCAGTTATATTTCATGCCAGTTAGTAGCACATGACCTTTCTGATTCATTCTTCTGCAATAACTATCCACGCCCAACAGACCTCTAATTATATTCCAAATGCTCTATTATATAGATTGCCTGAATTGGACATGCAGATATTTGAATCCTCATATCCAGTGAAGAACTTGTTAAAGCCCAGCCTTTCATTTCGAAGGAGTTCCGCCACATCCAAAATATTTCCACTCTGAACACGATTCCACCCATTCCCACTGGCCATTAGACATGACAGAGTTACTACTCTGAGGAAAACTGCGATGTGAAAATGTGGTCAGATTGTTGACCAAAGTTTGCTCAACAACCCTGGAAGAAATCCCATAATCATTCGTGAATGGAGAAAAGTTGTCCCTCACATCAACAGATCTCTGATTCTGATGTGGAGATAGAGATCTTTGCATCAGTAATTGAAGTCTTGCTCATTTTCAATAGTACTTAATTGTGGAGGAAAACTTGGAGACGTCTAAGTTAGATATGTTAAGGCCATTTTGAACCCTTCCTCTACCAACTGCCAAAATTGCAGGATCAAACTCAGTATCCCCGTTGCTGACATTTCCAATTGAAGGAGTCTGAAATTGATTGTGAAAGAAGGATGTCAAGCATGTGGCCTGCAAAATAAAAACGATTTTTAAGTACCAGAATCACCTTACAGTCATGTCCAACAGGGTAGAAAAACTGAAAAGCCAGAATTACTTACCAGAGAAAGAGTCAATATATGCTGTTCCATTCTCTGATGAGAAGTGAACCCTGGGGGTGGTGGTCTCTTTGGTGCTGGAGGCACTAACATCTGGGATCTTGACACTGTTTTAATAATCCACCACAAAACATTAAACTAGAGGCACTTCAAACTTCTCTTTTTTGGGGATAACCTACTTCAAATTAAATTCCGAACAATAAAAGATGAAGATAAGCAAACTAAATATAAGGATGAGTAATAAACTCACCTGATAGCTTGATGGAAGAGACATGAGAATAACAGTTCG